GTCTTACTTGGGGTAAACTCTAACTGAGGAAGGAGTCACGCAGGCTACCAGCTCCGGCCTCCTGCGGCAGCAGTTCCCACCATCGCTTCCCACGTTAGCAGCAGCATAAGCTGTTAGTGTTGCTGTTGCTGTTACATCATTCCCATGTTACATCAATTAACTGCTGGCAGCGGCAGACGCAGGGCACATGATGCGCCCGTCTTGTGTTTTTTGCTTTTGTTGATCCCGGGTGTATTTTCCGCAGTCTAATAAAAGCTTCTTACGAGTATTCTTCGCGCTTTGGGAAGATGACCGTCAGGACGGCTGTTGTGGAGATTCGCAAGTATGAGCACGGCCCACTATTAGCCACAGGGGCTGCTGTTGGTGCTGGCCTTGCACTGCTACTGCTGAGGCTAATGCTGCTGCTACAACTGCAGGTGTTGGTGCGTGCATGCATGTCGCCTGCAGTTCAGCCATTGCAGAAGTGCTGCTACTGCTGCTGCTCCTTGTGGGATTGCAGGCATCTTGAGCGGGAAGGGGACCTGCAGCAGTTTGAACTGGCGTTGTTGGTTAATCTGCTTCCCCGCACCCCCGACGAGGCCAAGGCACACATTCCTTCCCTTATCCGCCTCTCTCCTGCTCGACTTTCACGGATTATTGACACCTTGGAGGTTTTCAGGGTGCATGCGTCCTAAAGCAGCGTCTGCAGCTGCTATGGCGTCACTGGTGGCCGCTGTGGTTGCTACTGTTGTTGCTGCTGTCTCTCTTCGGCGTGTTGGGTGTCTTTGACTGCGTGTGAGGAGCGCATTTTGCCAGGCCCAGTTCCTTGTATGCACTGCACTTCAGGACAGCAACGCATTTGTAATCACGTCAAAACGAGCTCTTCAATATGCCATTTTGTCTGTTTCTTGGCAAAGATAGACAAAGAGAAGAACACTTAAAGGATCTTCTTGATACTCCTCTTCCCGACATCGTACGCTTGCGCGCACCTGGAGGGAGGTGACGAACATCTGGGTGTGGAGGACTGCGTAGGCAAGTCTTTACATGCTGACGCTTTTATTGATGGGCTTAAGTATACTTGTCTTAAACGAGCATGAGAGCGTGTCAACAATTCCACTTCTTATGTTCGTTTAAGACAAGTATACATACGCTCAGCAATAAAAGCGTCAGCATGCAAAGACCTGCCGGCGCACTCCTCTACACCCAGATGTTTGCCACTTCCCTCCATTTGTGCGCAAGCGTACAATGTATCTTTCAGGAAGAGGATATGCTTATCAAGAAGATATTCTTAGTGTTTTCGTACATAACGACCTTATTTATGCATGACTGAATCTGCGCGTGCATACTTTCACGCATAGAGTAGGAGGAGGACACGCATTAAATATATGTGCATCCGCTCCCTAAATATTCACATGCATGCATACCCTTGTATATGAGAAAATCGAGTCATCTGCATACACACACACTTAAACCCAGCCTAATCACAAGAACAAACACACGAACTTGCCTGAAGGTTCAGGTTGCCGAAGTACGTACGCATGTGCATGCTCACGCGGGCAGGCTTATGCATGCATTCGTCTGCAGACGACAAGAGACGCACCGATGATCTTCTCCATAACTGAAAAGAGGTAGGGTGATCTTTATGAAAGTGGAGTTGTGGGGACGACTTCACTGGAGGAGTTTGTTGCTGCTTCCGCGCTTGTTGCTGCCTCAACACTGGCGCATGTCTTCATCATCCCATAGTGTTTGGGAGTTCTTCAAAATGGCAAATTGTTCTCTATTTACTTACTGTCTTTCTACTTTGGGTTCTGTGGCTCTGCTCTCTGCGGCCGCGGAACTGCACGGGCGTCTGCATCGCCGACTGGAGTCACCGAGAAATGGGAGGTTCGCTTCACGATTTGGCCTTGACTGGTATCTATTAAGCACAACTCATGGACGAGTTGACAAATACAGGAAAGAAGTAGGAACTTCCCGCGAAGAAAGGCGGAGTGTCTTACACGACTGAGGACCTCAACCCTGGCAGAGGGGTGGCTTGAGGGGTGTATATGTTGGCGAACTCCACACGTTCAGGTGCAAGGCAACAAGGCCAAGAATGAATAGCATTTATACCAAATAAAAAAACAATACTGAGTGATATTTCAGAAGTCTTCATCTTTCCCTTCGTTGCTTCACCACAACACGTGGGTCACTTGGCCGCCACGGGGGCTCCCGGCGGCAACGGTGGACAACCTACGAGTCCATCAACAAATATGTTCCTCCTGATGTTTCCCTAGCTCCCCCCCTTTATTTTTCCTTCCTGCGTTTTTGCTTTTTTTGTGCTGAGTAATTCAGTCGAGTCCCTTCGCCATATGCACAATCGTCGGGGTGGTGGGTAGGGAGACCACGGGTGTCACCAACGCGGTGTCGCCACCGAGAAAACTGTCTTTGTCGCAAAGGCAGTTGTCATATTTAACAAAATTTTTAAAGGTCCACCGACGGTACCTCTGCTGCAACCCTTCATCCCGAGCCTGTGGACCCTGGCGAGTCCTCTCTCCCCCGTAGAACTTAGCGAGAGGCCAGACAGGAGGACAAACGGTCCACTTCAGCGCTATACCAGGTGCCAACGCACCTCTTAAGTTTTTTCTTTGAGGTATTTCGGTACAAATACGCAATTGGAGCCTCTACAAGCAGCGTACAAAGGCCGTACTACCTTATTCGTTGTCACCGACGTGCACCACCAGCAGCAAATACAGCCGCTGCAAAGGCGCCACCATGCTCTGGCTTCAAATCAGGCTCTTGGATCGATCAATTCACCCTTAATACCAACGCTGCTGTCAAGAAGTGCAAGAGCCGCAGCAGCTACCACGGTAGCAAGTGGTACGCGTAATAACAGGCACAGTCTACAGCGGCACCAATGGGCCGGAAAGAAATGTTCGCAAGCCTGCCTGAAGTTGGGATGCGTCGGCCTTCCAGCTCTTTCACTGTAGACCCAGAATCTTCAGCAGCTAGAACACTACAATCCCTATGCCCTCCTCGTGCAGCTGCAGTGCCTGTCGCAACACCTGCGACACCACCTGCCACTGCAATAGCAGAACGACGGCCATGGAAGCCTCGCTGTCTAGGGGGCAGCTGTTTCCCCATTATTAGGTGGTTTAGGTGAGTACTGCAGCACTTTACACCCTGTGCACAACAGAAATTCCAAGCTCACAAGCTTCGGCATGATGCTTTATGCAGGCGCTGCAGGAGCCAAAAGCCGAACAAACGTCAGCAACAGCAGCAACAGCTGGTAGAGCTGCCCTCCCAACAACACACTTTTCCAAATGGACCGCTGCCCCCCAAATCCATTCGGCCTCAGTTCCAGAAACACGAACAGTTGCAGCAGCAGTTAGACCTAAAGCATGAAAGGCTGCAGCTCCTACTGCAACAGCAAGACCAAGACTCACGGAAGCAAAAATACGCAAGGCAGCGGCTACTCCAACAACAGCACGAGCGTCAAGAAAGGCAGTTGATGCTGCTGCTGGGATCAGTCAACAACAATGGTCTCGCTATACCTTACACTGGGGGCGGCAGCAGCAGCAGCAGCAGCAGCTGCTGCTGCACAGGGGTTAGTGGCAGGAACTCAGGTGCTTCTGCAGGTCTAAATGCTCCTATACTCGGGACACCTGGCTACAGCAGCGGCCACAGCAACAGCAGGAGCCGCAGAAGCAGCACCAGCAACAGCGACTGTAGCAGCAGCCACAGCAGCGACCGCTCGCAGCCGCTGATGTTCTCGACTTCAGGCTGCAGCACTTCAGGCCTCTATTCTGTGCACTCCGCCAAGTCGCTGGAGCCTTCAATGCTCTGCAGCAGCAACTGCAGCAGCAGGCAAGGTTCGCACCGCCCAACAACCAAGTCTCCAAGAGGATGGGGTAGCGATGCAGCATCTCCACTCCCGGGAAGGGGAGCTTCTGCAGTCAGCCCCTGTGGCGTTGCCGATGCAGTTGCAGCAACAGATTATTCCTTAGCTGCGCCGTTACCTGCAGCAACAGTGGCAGCTGCTGCTACATGTGCTGTCACTGGGGGTGCTGTTGGTGCAGGCCAGCATGCGATCGGAGGTGATATCAGTCGTGCTGCAAAAATAGCCATGCAGCTGCCATTTTTGGAGTTGGTGACGGGGGTATCTGCTAGAGAACAGTCAAAAGCAACGGCGACTATTTCAGTTAATTCTGCAGCAGAAAGAAAACCAGGGATTCCTTCACGACCCGTCAGGCGTGCAGGGGCTGCTGCTGATGCAACAGACGAATGGGAGGGCCCCGACCTAGTTAATATCCAAGCATGCAGAAAGGACTGGCACAAACAGTTAACACTACATCAACATCACCTGAAGAAGCAATCACAGGGGCGCCAGCAGCCAGCACGCCAGGACCAGCAGCAGCCAGCATTGCAAGAGCAACTGCAAAGGGAGCAACAGCCAAGCGCAGCAGGCCATTTTTGGTCTTCCGTAGCTTCACGAACACCGCGATCCACTGTGGTGCCACAACATCCAGCAACAGTTGCAAGCGCAGCAGTCCCGAAGGCGGCAGCAATGGCAACGAGCGCCGCTGTGCCCAAGGTTGTCCCTTCTCGTCTTGCTAGCAGGCTCGCGGAGCCCTCTGTAGTGTCGAGGCCTGCGAGCTCAATAACCGAGGTGCAAAACACCCAGAAGCAGCAGCTGCACCGCAGACAACTGGAGGATGCAGGGCTACGAAGTTTGCCTCAGCTGGGTGGAGGCTTTGGGGCAACGCATGACAAATGCGTTTCCTCGCTTCCTACACCTGCTGCGGTTGAAGATGGGAATGACACCGAGAAACGCAGCAGGCACCCACCCAACACTCCACCCGCAATATGTGGTAGTGGATCAAAAGCAAAAGCTGCCGCAGCTGTCTCTGGCGTATGCACCACTTCTGTAGACGAATATGCTGCCCAGGCCAGTGGTGCCGTTGCTGTGCGGGAAGCTGCTGCCACAGACGTCAACGGCCAGACTTCTGAGGAGACGCGTCAGCGGCAACTGGACCGTCAACAGCAACAGCAGAATGAAAGTTTAGGTATGGCGCATGCTGAACTGCAGTCAAAGGCGCATTCACCGTCGCAGCACCAACCCCAGCCAGTACAGTTGCAGCGGCTACACCATTCCCCAACGCGTGCAGGAAAAGACAAGCACCAGATGCCTCAGTTGCCACCGGGCTGTTCCGAAGGCCCTCACACAGGAGCCGCCGGTGGCTCTCCGTCCGTTGCTGCTGCTGTTGCTGCTGTAGAGCTGGCTGCAGCAATGGTAGGTGCTGCCGCATCAACTGCGGCAGACACCGTTGGTCCTTCAGCCGAAGCCCTTGTGTCCTCCGTCTCTCAGAGGCTTAGTTTCCTGCTGACCACAGGAACAAATTGCTCTTTGCGGGCGCCCCGAAGGCAGCAGCAGCAAAAGCGGCACCATGATGCAGGCCTGTATGATGATCAACCGCGAGTGCAGCAGCGGAATACTGCGTTGCTTTCTGAACCCAGTATATCTCCCATGCAGCATCAGCAGCAACGGCAGGCTCACGAACAGAGGATGCGCCAGCAGGTACTGCAGGAACAACTGCTAGGGCAACGGCCCGTTCAGCAGTCGCTGCTGCAGCGGTCCGTGCCTCCCTTTCCAGTCACAGAAATGCAGGCGAGCTGCATGGTGCAGCAACTTCCTGCATGTGAATTGGATCAGCATCAGCAACAACAACAGCGCCAGCGGTTGCTGCAGCGATTGCAAAGGCCCGTACCCCATATCTCACAGACTGGCGTATACGCGACAACTCGATCAGAGTCTCCTAGGAGGCTCCAGCGGCGCCTTTCAGCGCCTAGCCAGCAGCATCAGGTGCAACAGCAACAACTGGTATTACACGAGCAGCAGCAGCGGCAAGTGCCGAAGGAGAGGCAACGAACATTCTTTGGAGTCCATCTCTCAGCAGAAGCGGAAGCGGCTGCTGCAAACGCAGCAGGGGCCGCAGCTGCAGCAGCTGCAGCCCGTCCGTTTTGTGGCGGCAATATTCCGCCTCCCTTTGATGCATTTGATGCTGCTCATCAGCGCCAACAGGTGCAGCAGCAACAAGCCACTTTAGTGGCTGAGCAGTCGGAGGCCTATCAGCTGCAGAAGGTGCAGCCCCTTCGGCGCCCCTGCCCCTGCGCAGATCCGGCTGCTTCTACAGCAGCCGATCCTGCAGTCCCCAAACAAGACTGGTGTTGTTCGCCACGCGCGAGTCGTGAGGTGTCCTTCTGGGACCCAGCGCCCTGCGACGGTCCTTCGAGGACCCCGAGCTCTACATGTGCATTCACACCTCGGCAGCAAGAGGAGGCTGCTCCTGGCCGTCGGTCTCCCGCAGGGCAGCAGGCAGCTGAGGCTTCTCGCCGGGCCCTGCTTCTCCGAAAAAGTTCCCAAGCGTCTTTGCTCCAGATTTGCAGTGCAGCGAGTCATGACCAGCAGGTGCAGCAGCCGCATCCAGTTCAGCTGCAAGCACGCTGGGGAACTGAGGGTGCCCATGCACTACCGATAGCAGCTGCAGCCGCAGCAGCATCAGGCCAAAACAAGTTGGAAGGCAGCGAAACGAGTCCCACAGATCTTTGCAGTAATAGCACGAATGTAACTTCGGATGTTTCCTCAGCTAGAAGCATGCAAAGTGCTTTGACACCACAACTCTTGCATCCCCTTCGCCGTACTCCTTTTCCCCTGCAACGGCTTGGGGCAGAGACAGAGCCTGAACGAGGAATAGGGGCAGCAGTAATAGAGAGGCCGCCCACTCCTGTTCGTGCGGAGAGGTTAAGAAGGCGGTTGGAGAGGCTTCGGGACATAGGTCAGCTCAGCCGAGACACCTACCCAGCAGCAGAAGTGGCCTCATTGATCAGCGGTGCACGGGTGGAGAAAGAAGGTCCGTTTCCGGTGTACGTGCTCGACAAAGACTGGACCCTTGGCTGCAGCGCCCTCGACCCCGACTGGCCGCAGAAAATGCTGCAAAACACCAAGGAAGGGATAAAACTGCATTCTGAAATCAATAGGCTTCTCGCCCTAGCGAAGGAGGTTGACCTTGCACACACGAAAGAGAGAGCTCAGTAGAGAGAATGAGCCGCACGCTGTATTTGCCGCTGTTGCCAATGTTTTCGTGGCTGTCGCCGTAGCTGCCCTAGCAGGAGGCGCCACTCCCTTGTGCTATGCATGTCTCCTACAGTTGCTCTGCTTACTGCAGCCTTAAATTTCACTTACTCTCCTGAGCCCCCCCGTACATCCCCGATTACTACTTAGTCTTCAGTTCATCTCAGTAAGGACTCAGTAACGAAGCTGCGGTTGTACAGCAGCAACAACATCAACACGCTGCATTGGGTCCTTCAGGAGATCTTTATCGCAAACTCCTTTCAGGCAAGACCTTTTCCTTTGACGCAGTTCGAAGCTTTTGTTTTTGTATCCATCTTCACACTTTTGGCTTAAATGCCCTGTAGGCTTTTAGGCTCCCCTTATTGCTTTTGCTGTGCGGTCGCTACAACCCACTGTGGGCAGGCTGGGTGGTCCTTTCAGTCTGCGTATCTGCTGCTTTTTGTGCTGCCGTGGCTACGATGAGGCACTACAGGATTTGACTGCCACAGCGGCCTGCAGGGCGCTATAAGAAGCACCTCGTGTGCGTTAGGCACTGAAGGAGCCCGTAGTGGACATCTACCAATTGCAGAGTGACCCTACGGTTGACTCCCAATTAATTTTGTGCACTGAACCTTGAATGCCTTAGTTTAGAGACAAGAACGAAGAATGGGTGGGGGGGAGGGGGTGTAACAGGGGCATCGAGAAACTTGTATGAGTGTTGCTGCATGCCTGGACCATTGCGCGGTTTCCGTTCTTGTTTCACGTACGAAAAGAATAAAACTTAGCGGATGGGCTGTGTGGCATTCTGGTCGTGTGTATCCCATTAGCAGCGGTTTCCTCTCTTTGAAAAAGGGACAAAGCAAAATGGAGTAGGGAGAGGCTAGGTGGGTAATATCTCCCTTAGCGGGACGCGATAGTTCAGATGTCTAGTCAAACCCTTTCAACGACAGCTGTGTTGCGTATCAACTACTTTAAGCACTGCCCACACAGCAAGGGGCAGTTCTTATTCTCCGTTACTTGGAGGGCTCCTTCCGCGTGGTTGTCCGCCTTGCTACATGTACTCAGCGGTAGCCGCTCGCTTTTGTTTGGCTCTACTTAATTGTCTCTCTCCCCTTTCGTGCGTCCGGCACTGCAAAGAAGCAGGCAACGTCTATCCTCCTTCGGCGGTAGAGGCGCGTATTGCTGCGCTGCACGGGGGCTGTCTACGAGGATCTTTGAGGGGCATCTCCAGAAGCAGCCCTAGAGGATGCCGCTGTGCTGCCCCTACGCAGACTGCTCCTTTGCTTGCACGGTGCCATCCCTCGAACACCCGCCACCTTTGAATTCTCCTTTGAGGGACCTTTCCAGTGCAGTGAACTCTGCGGAGGTGCTTCATTTTGAGACGTGCTTTCCGTGACGCCTACAGCGCTCGGGACCTCTTGTGGCGCCTTCTGCAATCTCTTTGAAATATACCGCACGAAAAACATAAACAACTCGACAATGATTACGAGACAAGCAGCTGCAACGACGACAGCGACACTAGCGTTGTAGGTGGGAGGGCCACTTACATCAGGCGAGTTCGCCTCCTGGAAAACAACCGCAACACCCATAAGCGCGCACTGAACTGCAACGAGGCACCAGCCCAGAAGTTGGACTGCTCTAAATCTTCTGTTCAGGCTATTCTTAAAGTGGATTCAGTAGTTACGATAAGGGAGTTAAAGCGTGAAGCCTGGGATGCAATGTTAGGATTCGGATGACCGCAAATCGCCTGATTGCGTGGTCAAGGGCCTGCAGAGTTGGAGCAGAAAACCTCTCAGGGGTGTCCTTGGGCTTGAAGAGGTCTTTGGCCGTCTGAGAAGACATAGCTGAGATTGAGATGGGGTCTGGGAGAGACAGGGCGTTCCTGTAGCAGCCCGCCCACATCTGGTGCAGTACAGAAGCCAGCACGTCGTCTTCTCTCATGCCCTAAAGGATCCCACAGAAGAACACTTTCAGCCACTGTCATTTTCGTTCGTTGCCTCTGCACTTCCATAGGTGGCCCATGCTTTGCAAAAAGCACAGGAAGAATTTCTCGCTCAGCGTAATACGCGAAGACACTTCCCGATCGAAGCATACGCGCTCTAACTCACTAAAAGTATATACATGTCTGGTGGAAGCCTTTGCGGGAAATGGGGTATTCGAGTTCACTATTCAGGCTTCTTAAGTGCTCACGTGTTGAGGGGACTTTCCCCTGGCCAGACGTTGATAGGTTTCGCGGTTCTCATTCATGTAGTCGTGTGCAAGTGAGAGACAAGACAAGGCGACGACTTCTCGATTTGTTGAGGAGAGGGCGGACTCTTTTCTGCAAGACATGAAGAGATTCCCGTTGCTTCCGAAACCAGTAGCTAGATAGATAGGGGATGAACTGCGAGCAGCGGCATGCTGGCATGTGGCGTCGTAACTATTTGGAATTCATGGTAGTGATTCCAGGCAAACTCTGCAGTCTCGTCCTCATCCCGTGTCACATCCTACGCAAGTGCATGTGCATTTACATGCCTAAGCAACTAAAGAAAATAGTTGGCACGTGTGTGCTGCACATGCTGTTCGCTCGCAAATAAGAGCATGAATTTATCCTAGTTACTAGATGAGGAACCACTTCGTACATTCCCACGCAGTCACGGGCGCATGAACTGGGGCTGGGATGCAGATTGAGAAGCCGCTACGTTTACATTCTGTGGAGTGAATAGATGAAACGAGTGCTGCTACAGCGAGACGGTCGACTTGCTCAGGGCTCCACAGTATGACTACGCAGTGTGAGTAGAGACAGGCCGTAAGCTCCGACATTGTGGATCCCCTGTGAAGGTCTAGAGTTGGGAATGCAGAACGATGAGTAACTCACTGCTTTCTTTCCGCCTCTTCCTCGTAGCGAGGAAGGTCACCGCCGGGGTACAGAGCAAAGACCGCCATGTCGACGCGAGACTCCTCCGCATCCAACAAGGACGCATATTGAGTTTTTGTTCCCTTCATTTTAAATTCAGATGGATTTGAAAGGCGCATAAATTATGTACACGCGCGCCTTTGTTCAAGTAGGCTGTACGGGCGTACCATGTACCAGTGGTGAATGACGGGCGGGCACCGATAGCTGCACGGGGGGGCCACGCACAGCAAAGCGGTTGAAGCAGACAAGACCGTGTATACCCCACACCAAAACCCTCAAATATTAAATTTATAAACCGCTGCACGGTGCGTGGTCGGGGCCTTTAGTAAAAAGAACAACAACTCGTTCTGCTGCTCCGGGAGGTGCCCTTCGGCTGCTGCGTTAGGCAAAGAATGGCTGGCCACTCCAACTCCCTCAAAAAATACCAAATAAAGCACAGAATTGTAGGACTGAGCTTCGCTGACAGGATTTCGGGAAGAATGGATGTGGGCCTTCGGCCCAGTCGGAAATTACCAAGTTTTTTCGTGATAACGGGAGTATCTAGTCGTGCTGGCGCAGCAAAGGAGATGCAGCGCGTGCCTCACTATTAATATTAGACTGGAAACTTTAAACAACATTCCGACAAATTTTTGCTTCAAAAGGGTCAAATGGGCAAAACGCCCCTTCATGTGAACAACATTTTGGTTGCGCAAACCGACGAGCCTGTTGGGGCGGTGCCTCCCCCGAATGTTTCTCGCGGGCGCTCCCAGTGCACCTCAAAAATTACGCTGTAGTGGTATAGGAGTGCCACTACACCGCAATGCCTGAGAAATTATTGTGTAGTGCGACTCCTACTTGCTGACAAATTGACAAATTGCTACCTCGAACAGGTCAAATGGACCAAAGCGCCCCTCAGTTTGAACAGCATTTTAGTTGTGCAAATCGATTTTTTGTGGTAGCGTTATACTTTCAAACGTGCACACGGCGTATGTTAACGACTCATGTGACCGCAAGGCGACAGTTACTCTCTTCAGCGCACCAACATTTCAGACGCAGTGTTTTGGTGCCTATCCACGATAACTCCCGTTTAACACGACTGATACTTTTTCGGACCTGGTACTATGGGTGCAATAGACGCTTTCCGCTATCCTGTCGCAAACACATATGCACGCCGGCCACGGCGTTTCCCTCGAAACAGGTCACGGCGCTTTTCGAAACGCTTATAGCGGAGAAGGCCAGTAAAGAATCCCATAAGGCTAACCTATGCTATACATTCTGTTTTTTTTCGTTGACTTGTGGGAGTGCGTACTCACCGCTGGGTGCTTGGATGCTCTGCAGAAAACATGAAGGCCAAACGCATCTCCTGAAGCTTAAATTCTAGCCTGCGGCCGTCATTTCCCCGGCGACTAAGTCTGCCCTGTTTTGGAGTCTGTTAGATGACTCAGAAAACGACTCGGAAGCCTAAAAATAAGTCTGGTGAACGGATGAAAATGGTCTATACGTAAAGAGGACGAGTTACCCACTGGGTGCCGTGGCGAGGAGAGTAAACCGAGATCATTGTCTCTGCACTGTAGCTTCTAGTAGATGTAAAGATCCTCCGGTATAAGGAAATGCGCCACCGCATTATTCCTAGGCCTTGTAGACAGTATTCTCGCTTCTATGCTTTTAGCCTGGCTATTGCTGAGACTGGCAACCGTACCTTTTATGACGCTGCTTCGACATCTACCTTCGGGCCCTTGGTCTGGACTAGAGCGGAACACGCAAGCTCCTGAAAAAAGTCAGAAAAGCAACTTCCAGCAATAAAGAATCGCCTGACGAGGTTGCAAATCTTTCATCTCAGGCTTTAAAGAACCTGACTTCACCAATAAGCTAAAAACGTATTAGCTTCAGTAGGAATCGAACACATGTATAACGAAGTCAAAATCTGCGTGTAAACAATACATCCAGTTCACCTGGACTCGATCTTGAATCATCATATAGTTTAAGGGGAAAATAGAGTAAAAGAAACAATATCTTTTTGCTAATTTTACAATTCATTGTACCTTTCATTGTGGCACGCATTTCGAGATGAACCAGCTAGCTCCAAATTCGATTAGCATTTCACCGGTCAGTGTATCTTAAACACGGAGTTTGCCGATACTTTGTCTACTTAAGTGACAGTATCCACGTTTAAGCAAAAGACGTTAACAACAATAATTAGCTGTTTTCCTTCGCGTTACGCCCTGCCAAGCTTGGTCTGTTTTGGGTTTTACGCACTTTTCCGAGTAAATCATTACGGATGCCGAGAAATTTCGGTGTGGGTTTCAGTGGCAGAGGACATTTGATCCACAAATAAGTGCCAATTCAGCTGAGAAAGCCAACGCATTCGTGGTCTGTGAGTCAGTATGGAAAAAGTCAATACTTAGTCAAGAAAAGCCAACATTGCGTGCGAGCGAGATTAGTTGGGAGCGAGATCCCATCACAAGACGGTGAGCACAGAGAGCAAATAACCATCTGCAGCATAAGCTTTAGCTTTGAATAAAAGGTCAAGTAGAAGAGAGGGAAGTTATCACAACCAGACATTTGGATTCCTCTTCGCTCTCGATACTGGAACCCACGCCCATTTCTGTACGGACGAATCCGGACAACGCCACTTCTTACATGCAAAATTTCATAAAGAGATGAAGGTGGATATTGTGTAGAAATGAGCAACTTCAGCCTAAGCAAACCGAGCTAGCACAACTCCGACCTCGGCAACTTATGGGACGGCCGGAACTGAGGGAAATTCACCGCGTTCAGCCCTATTGCGTAAAAGCAGATCAACTAGACAATTATGCTGACAATTATGCCGGAGTAATTGAACTCATAAATGCACACCAATAATGTTTTGCTCCACAATTGTGGGAATGTGCATGCTGGGAAAGTCACCCTGTGGCAGGTGGGTATGCGCACGAAGTGACCCCCGGAACCATACCCGACCTAGGTATGACTACTGACTACGGCTTTTCTTGAGAAAGCTACCTTTACCACTAACACAATCTACGTAATCATGGTAATTTGCATGAATATCTATGTTGAGAGCGTTTTTCTAGACTTTCAAGTGCTACACCTCGTCCTGGCTCCCTAGGGCCCCGTTTCGGGCTACTCAGTGTCGCGTCGCCCCACGACCATTAAAGGCCGTGGAGCTGTGCGTATCCCAGTGGCACTGTTTTCCCACGCATTCTGCTCGTCAAATATTTACTAAGTTTCTCAAGAACCAGCACATGCAATTTCTTGTTCTGACTGGCAGACCCTGCTTGCTCTCACGCCACCAGTAGTAGCCACGCCCTGGCCTCAAGGAGAGTTGCTGCCAAAATGGTGTTACTGCATGTAAAAACGGCGGATGAACAACATCAGTTTCTGTTTGAGACAAAAACAAGCGAGACAGTGAAAGATGTTATTTCAGCTGTCACCACACTGCATCTCACGCGGCTGAAGGCACTGAAGGTGGCAGATGCCGCAGAGGCGGTGGCAACATATGGACCCTTAAGACCAGAAGAAACTAGAGGACTGACAGAAGAAGTCAGTACCTCGTGGCTCCTCTCATGTCTCCTCTCGTGTAGGGTAAAGAAAGCGGTGGTTTGCACACTTGTTGCGGTCTAGGGGGAAGCGCTCAGCCTGTGGATCTAGACTTGGTCTACGGTTTGTTCACCCTCAGGTGGCCAAGCTGTCCAACTTAAACGTTTACCCCGAGGGCCCCCCGACAAATCCTGACCCGCATTTTTACAGGACTGGATTGCCCCCTCCCAAAGAGGTGGCCGACGTCATTCTTCGCACCTGCGCAGAGGCCAGAGAGGCCCTGTCGCACAAGAAGGTGCATCAACAACAGCACTTGAGGGTGAAAGTGGTAGAAGGTGTGAGGGGGGGGGATTGGGGAGAAAGTGCAGTGCACACTTCATGGCAAGAGGAAGCACTTCTGTCCCAGGCACTTGCGGCGCAGAACATGAGCAACGAGGTAGACAGGCGCATAACAAGATGAACGGAAGTTCAAAAAACAGATAAATATCAGAGATATCAGAGGTTCTGAATAATTTAGGCAGACGGCGAGGGGAAGAAACGTGAAACCCACCCATGTGCAGATTCTAGGTAGACGTCGAGGAACACAAACGTGAAGCGCAACCGCCTGTATACCCTAAATGCATGCATTGTCGTGCCCCAATATATTGGGATCATTCCAAGGAGTCTTTAACCTTGAAGGGGAGAAAAGAGGGCTGACTGCTCTGTTTGCGCCTATGCTCCGTGGAATTAATGCGTCCTGCGTTGGGGCACAGGCAGGCAACTGCTTCCGCCTCTCACCCGTTTCCCCGGGGTGTCTGTACAGGTTGAGCGTCGGGAAGCATTGCTGCTGGAGGCGGTACAAGAGACGCTTAATCTGCTGCGGGGGGCGTTGCAAATCGCCTACCCTGCAAACCACGGCCTGCCGTGCTGGGAGCCCGCTCGCCTTCTCTTGGAAGATAAGGAGACTACCGGTGGCCAGGATATTTCACAGGTACTCAAGAGGAAACAAATGCAAAAACGTTCCCTCCAAAACGCCTTCCGAAAAGCCTTTGGTGCTATTGCGGTTGCTGCTGTCCCTGCTGAAATGCAAAATAAAGCGCAGTATGGATGGGCTTGTCCCTTTGGTTCCGACTGAAGACAATACCACAGCTGTCCCGCTGCCCCTTGGCAGGCTGCACCGTTGATTTCCTGCCTTCCAATTGCAAGTCTGGCTGCACCTAATGGCTTAACGGAAACTGCTGCACCCGCTGCTGCTGGTGTTGTTACAGAATATCACTCTAGAGAATGCCTGTCTTTGGTGGACGGGAAAGCAGCTGCACAAGACGGAGTGCCTCAGCAAATATTTAGGAACAAACGAGAAGACAAGGACAGTGGTGCGGCTGCAGCCTAAGAATGCGGGTACGATATCTGAATCTCCCCTCTAGAACCTGCAAAACACCCTAAGTTGAAGATAAGCGCAGCTTCAGGTCCTGCCCATCGGCCTGTTCAAGGCGGGGGTGTTTTTTCTTAAGGAAATGCAAGGAGGAATTCATGGCCTCTCGTCGCCTGCCTTTCTTCCTGTTCGCTCTTCCCTGCGCATAAATGCGCAGAAGCCTTTGCTGTTGCTGCGGCATCTGCTGCTGCTGCTGCAGGACCCCCCGTCCGCGAGCCTCGGATGGATGCAGAGACGCACAAGGCTGTGCTGGCGTACTGTCACAAGAAGAGACAAGAGGATAAAGTCCGTCAATCCCCCCAAAACCTGCTATTGCCTCAGCTGCGTCTTCCTGCCTGCTACCTGCCCATATATTCCGGCGGCGTCCCTGCGACCCCCTGCGGGGCCTCCTCCACGGACTTTTACTGTTGTCGGCAGTCTTGGGGTCTGCCTAGTTGCACTTTGCTTCTCGTTATCCGCCTTGCGGCTATCTCTTGTTTCCTTTCGCCTTTATCCCACGTTAGCCTGTCTTCTGAACCAGTGAATTTCACGCAGCACGAGGTGGTTAGTGCTTCGGTATGCTTGCTGCAGACAGATGCCCTGCACGGGCATTCTGTCGGCGCCCTGTCGTCTTTGTCTCCTCTCTGTGCCTCTGACTCTAAATTGTCCCGACGTGTTTCTGCACAGATTTTTTCTGTGTGGCTGCTGCCGCTACCGTCTGCCTCGTTCGTTTCGCTCCTTGCGTGCTTTTTGCCGGTCTGTCTTTGCCCTTCACGTCCAGGACCCTTTCTGTCTCTCCTTGCTTCATGCTGCCTTTTGCTCTCGTTCGTCGTTTTCCTTTGGTCACTGCAGTGGCCACCCCTTGCGCTGCCTGTACACTTAACTTGTCTCTAGGCATTCGCTGAGGATGACGACGACTCATACTTGTGTTCACCGTGGTCCGACCCGCGCGCTCTGAAGCAAAGCCTTCTTGGCATGAACGGCCCCATAAGGTGGAGAGCATAAACAAGCAAACAGCAGGAACAGCAAGCAAAAACAAAAGCACAGACAAGGTAAGAACGGAAACAGCAAAGAGACATAGAGCGACCCAAGAGCCAAAGGACTACTGGGAACTTCATCGAAGCATCTAAACCAACGCACAACAAAGTAATGGGAAAACACAAAAGTGGACAAGACATCGCGAAACAAGCAAGTAGGAGGTGTAGGAAGTGGGTATAGAGGGACAAACTCCCTCACGGCAGCCAATACGCATGCCGACAAGACACAAACAGACCGCAAATGCAGCACTTTGCTCCGCTGTTTTCTCGGCCGTGCTGCTGTTGCTTTCTGCTGCTGCTGCCTTCTGCTGCTACTGGGTACGACGACCAGGCGCTTGCAGCCGTAGAAGCATATTCTGGCTGCACAACGCCGCACATATTTCTTTTTGGACTAAGCGTAATCTAAACCGAAGTGTTGCATTCCAAAATCAACCTTCACCGTAGCATCACCCACTCCAGCTCAGCCCACGTTCAGTCTGGTACAGTTCCATTGCTTTGCGAGAAAAAAAGTCTGATGCTGGTAAAGCAAAGTCCCCCGCTCCACCAGCACCAGACAAGTCCTCCGCTGCTGCAGTAGCACAGAAGTCCTGTGCTGCTGCAGCAGTAGAGAATGCCTCGCTGCGGCAACAGGAGTTAGCGCCGCTCCTGCAAGGGGAACGGCGCAGGAGACGTTGCGGCACTGAGAGAGCTAAGGGGTGAAAGGGGCGCACTATAAGTACTTGGGGCTTGTAAGGGGAGCCTTTTCTCGCACCCCCACCTTCCCCTTGTGCCTCTTCCTGTAGACCCTCGCTGCCTTCCTCCCAGCGAGGAGGAGAAAACAGAAAATGCACAACACGATTAAGATGCAAAACCACCAAGTGTCTCTCCAGTCCGTTGTATCCCCATCGGAGGGCAAACGGCCCTCCTGCAAAACACACCACACACCGCACTGGCCTAAAGACGCTAACTCAGAACCATAAACCCTAGACCCTTACGCTTCTCCCCTCTATTTTATGCCTCCGCTGACCGCGAATTCCTTGACAAGTTTGTCAATGTCGACAAGCGTTTGCGCAGGAAACCTCATTGGTGAGTGGTGAGGTTTGAGGAGGGCCTCGGCCGCCTGAGCAGGGAGAGCCGGAATGGATACAGAGGCCGGCAGAGAAAGTGCGTTGCTGTAGCAGCCTGCCCACATCTGGTGCATGAGCGTTGCAAGCACGTCGTCCTCTCTCATACCCTGCAAACGCAGACACAGGAACCCGTCCATGCATGTGCGCGTTTAGACAGCCCCTGCCCCCTTCAGTTTTGTTCACTACGCCCCAGCCCCAACAGCTTGTTCCTACGTTGCTCCACACACTCCATCCCCAGTGCAGCGCCAGATGCAGCAGGGGGTGTGGTAACATGAAGACGCATGGGCATGAGGCACGGAGGCGAAGAGAAGAAAGGAAGCAGAAAGAAAAAAATGAAACGTGCGGTGCGGCAGCTGGGAGATGGAGCAATCAGAGGCATAGACACTGCGCTGATGGAGCGAGAGAATCAAGAAAGTCAGAGAGAAAGGAACGAGAGGAAAGAAACACTGACAAAGGCGGGCAGCAGTCAGCTTTAGACAAGAGAATGAACACGTCATCTGCCCGGATGCGCCAGGAGGCGGACTGCATAGCGGCGTGGGACAAACCACAGAAGCGCAGGAGAAGAGGAGAGCAACAAGGAGAAAAACGGAAACGTCATAAAACAACAGGCTCACGCACACCACCAAGACAAATGGGAAAAAGCCGATAGGAGAGGCGGAACAGGCACAGAACGTGACACGAGACACAACCGCGCAAGTCCCAACCAAACATGGGAAACATCAAATCAGGGCAGGCATGAGACACCAGCGCGACTGATCTGACCATCTTGGAAGAGGCCTCGGGGACCGTTTGTCTAAGAAAAGACACATTTGTCTTGAGGTGTCGATCCACCAGTGAAAGACAGAAGGCAACGGCGTCCATCCGCGAATTCCAGTGTAGCTCCTCTCTGAACAAAGAAAGGGAACTGGGGCTGAGACAAACTCTCTGCCTCTACATTCAATTCTTAATTGTCCTCGTTCGTTTGACTCTTTGTTCCATCGACGTCTACATGCACACGCATCCTGGTATCTCGCGTTGGGCTGATGTGACTTTCTTTGTCTAGTTTTGCCTATGTTCGTTTGTCCTCTGCCTCAGTCTAAGCCTGCTTCTCTATATGACTTTAGCTGCTCGCTTCCTGCCTTCTTTCTCAAGCTCTCTTAGCTGCTGCGACTATTACTACTGCTAATAATGCTACTGCCGTTGCTGCCGCTGCAGTTGTTGCTGCTAACAGTGGCGAAGGTGGCGGAAAGACAGTTGGCTCTGCGTTGGGCTTAAGCGACTGTGTGGCCAAATCCATCTGCTTCGACAGCTGCACCAGCATCCAGTTGCTGCTGTTGTTGCTGCCGCCGCTGCCCCTGCTGTTGCTGTGTGAATCACGCCTCGCCGCCGCCATAGCAGCGTCTTCGGAGGAATATGCCGAAGCCGATGCTGCGAACATCAGCAGCGCCACGAGATGCCACTGAACCTGCAGCACCTGCCTGCCGCTGCTCCAGCAACAGCAACGCAAACTTCTCATCCTCGCTACTTCTGCCGTTGTTGTTCTTGCTGCTGCCAGTGCTCCCGAATCTGTTTGGCCACGGATTGAAGCTAGATGCTGAGGAGCCAAAGACTAGGAACGAAAGCAAGAGCAGCGCGGTACTCCGTCGGCCACGGCTCCAACCACTGCCCCCGGCCCCCCTTCAAACAGGCCCTCGTGCTGGGGGGATGTCCCTATATCTGCACGCAGTGCTTTTAACACTGTGGTCGGCTGCTTCTGCCGCAGCCCCAGCAAATTTCTGTTGTTGAAGCAGTAGTCGTTGCGGCTGCTGCGACGGGCGACCCAGGGCCTGCTGCAACAACGGGCTGTGGTGCCGCTACCATCAGTACATGGAATAAAGCAAGATAGAAGAAATTATGCGCTGCTACATCTGGTATTATCGATGAGTTCCAATGACAGCTGCAGGAACCCGAGCGGCAGCAGCCGACAATGGAGGCCCACAGGGGCCCACGAGACAGCAGCAGCAGCAGCAGTAGCAGCAGCAGCAACAGCTGTTGGCTGTTTAATGAGTACCAGGTTTCTTCTTCTTTGTGCTGTTCCCTCAGCTTCGGATTTTAGTGATTTGCTAGCCTCCTCCCGTTGCTGCCTTCTTGTGGTAAGAACCGTCAGCAGCGACTACAGCAGCAGGCTTGCTGCTGTCCCTGCAGAGACTGCAGATTCAACCCTGGCCTTCACTTGCACGGGCACCTCAGGCAAATTGCGTCCCAACAGCAGCAACATCTACGGTGACACCAGCCGTAGGAGCAGCGGCGTCAACACTGCAGCAGCAACGAGGCAACACGAGTCGCGCGAGGCCTGGTGTTGCAGTTGCAGGCGCTGCTGCTGCTACACGGTTCGTCGCTGCGGTTCCTCCTGCCGATGGAGGAAAGAGAGGGAGTGCAGGCCCCTGAAGTCGGTAGCGCCGCGCTGCAGCGAAACCTTCAGTTGCAGCGAAGGCAGCAACCACAGCACGAGCGGCAGCAACTGCGGTAGCAGCAGCGTGAGGAACATCAACAACGAGGGGCAGCAGCAGCACACGCTGGCTGCTTCTGCTACAGCAGCAGCGGTGCTGCAGCAGCCTCTGTGTTGTGTGCTTGTTCTCATCTGACGAGGCACCTCGCGGAGCAACGACAGCGGCAGCAGCAGCACAAGCAGCAAACAAGCCGCAGCTGCAGGAACGGCAGCACCGGCAATGGAACCGGATCCTGCGTCTCCCCTTGCTGCAGCAGTGGTGGCGCTGCGTCTGCTGGCTGCTGCTCCTGCAGCTTCAGACAGCCGCAAGGACCTCGCCAAGCAAGAGTTGCTGCGGCGGATAGAGTTGTTGCTGCAGGAGCAACAGCTACAGCAACAGGAACAGCAGCAGCAGCAGCAGGAACAGCATCAATGGAGCCAGCGAGTGCAATTGGACCAGCAACACGGGCGGCGTACGCAAAAAGAGCGTGAGCACCACCAACAGGATCAGCAGCAGCAACAAGAGCAGCAACAGCAACAGGGACAGCAGCTGCAGCAACAGGAACAGCAGAAGCAGGAGCAAAAGCAGCAACAGCAAGAGCCTCAGGAATGGGTGTGGCAGTGGGGAAGCGACATCACGACACAGAAGGAGCTGTTAGAGCAGCTGGAGGAGTCATTGTTGCTGCTTTGCTGCCAGCAGCCCCCTCCTGTGTTGCAGCAGCAATTGCTGCGATTGCTGCTGTTGCTAGTGCATTCCACTGATGATTGTGGGGTTTGGCACCGTGTTGCTGCTCGGCTTCTGGCAGCAGCAGGTGAAGGGCTACACTTGTCCCCTTCAGTATCTGCTCCCCTAGCCGCAGCTGCTGCACCGCCGCAGACAGCAGCTGCAGCGGCAACAGCAACTGTGGGTGGTGTAGGTGCAGCAGGCACCAACAAGGTATTCTCTCCTCTCCCTCCGCTGCTGTTGTGTGGGGAGTTGTTTAAGGCCTGCCCGGAGGCGCTGTCTCCGTTGCTGCCGCTGCTCGTTGCTGTCGGATCGAAGCTGCTGCAGTCATCAACGGCGCCTGCCGCTGCAACAGCAGCAGCGGTTGCAAAGGCCCTGAGGGCTGCTGTTGCGGCAACGGGAGCCTGTGGGGAAGCACTGGCGGAGAAGCTCTTCAGTTTGACGTTGACTTGTCTTCGCTACAGCAGTAGCAGCCACCGCAACAGCAGCAGCCGCAGCAGTAGCAGCAAAACGAGCAGAAACCTCAAGGGCAGCAGCGGACATGCTGCTGCTGAAGCTGCGAGGGAAGCTCTGCTGCTGCTGCAGCAAGTCGTGTGGGCTTTCCCTCGAGGTGTATCTTCACCGGAGTGCGACGCCCTCTTAAGTGCTGTTCTCGATGCTGCAGCACCAGAACTAGCTGGTGCGGCAGCGGAGAATGAAGATCTGCTCGAAGCAGCACAGGAGAACGTTCCGCATGCAGCAGCAGCACTTGCGGCCCTTCTAGCTGCTAAGGCCATAGCAGGCGTGCAGCAGCAGCAGGTGAAGCAGCAGCAACAGGCAAAGCAGCAGCAACAGCAACGGCAGCAGGTTTCACTCAACTATCTCGACGAACCGGCGGATGCTTTGGCGGCGAGCAGCATCTCAACGGACTTTGTATCTCTTTCATTGGGGCAGTGTATGACTACAGCAGCAGCTACGTCTGCAGCAGCAGCAGCTGCTACTAAGGGTCTTTATTCCGAAGTGCGCAGCGTTGAAGATGCCCTAGCTTTAGTACGAAAGCAGTGGCTACTGCTGCATGTGAGGGCAGCAGCTGATGCAAAAAGGGGCTCTTCAGGGTCTGCAGCAGCAGCAAAGTACATTCCGGTGTTGCCACCGCAGCAGCGGGACACCTTGCTGCTGCATTCAAAGGCAAGGCAACAGGGAATGCTGCGTCAGGTGCTTGCTGCTGCTGTGCCGTGTTTTTGCCGCTTCTTGCTGCGGTATCTTCCCCCTGTGTCTCTCGTTAGCATAGCAGTAGAGTGTCTGCTCACCTTGTTGTCGCAGCTGACAGTAGCTGAGTCTTGCTGCAGCTGCAGCAAGAGGGGAGGGGGCAGCCAAGGCCTGAAGGAACAATGCGTAGGGGCCTGCCGCTGCTGCTGCAGCTGCAACAAAAGCCTTGCTCTTGGTGCGTCCTGTCTCTCCCTGGAGACGCTTCACTCTCAGGCACTCGTGTCGCATGCAGCGCAGCAGCTGCTGCTGCTGCTGCAACCGCAGCAACAACTGGGCCTTCTGGACTGCTTGAGCCGGGCCATAGCAGCAGCAGCAACAAGGACAGCAGCGCCGCAAGAGTCCACTGCAGCAAGAAGGTCTGTTGGCTGCAGCAGCAGCGGGGTCAGCCTTGCGCACCCACTGCTACTGCGTGCAGCCTTAAATATATTGGAAGCTGCTGTCGTCGCCACGGGAGAGGCGGGTGTAGTGGCTTACCCGTCTTCACTGCATGCAGCTTTAGTCTCCATTCTAACTGTAAAAAGTCCACTGCAGCAGGGGCAGCAGCAACAGCAGCTGCGCTGTGCCTTTTGGCCTGCGGTGCAGCGACAAGCAGCTGCGTGCATCTGGCGGGCCAGGTCTTTTTCGCGTTCCCATTTGGCTTTTAGCTCCATGAAACTCGAGCTGATCGAGGCAGCAACAGCGGCAGCTGAATCGGCCCTCCAAACACAGGGCAAGTGTCTGGACGCTCTCCAGTTTGCAGGGCTGTGGGGTGCCTGTCTCGGCCTCGCTGCCTCCATCGCCACTGTGGCTCACACAGGGCTGCAGCAGACAGCCACAGCAGCAACAGAAGCACCAGCGGCTGCAGCGGCAGCTCCAGAGGCAGCGGCAGCTACAAAGGAAGAAGGAGAACTCAACAATATCACCGGTATGGCTCCACTTTTGCACCGGAGCATCTCCTTTTGAAGATGCCTCAACAGCTGCACCTGCTGCACCTGCTGCACATGCTGCAGCTGCTGCACTTGCTGCACCTGCTACGGCCGCTGCACCTGCTGCAGCTGCTCGCTTGCAGCTGGTTGCCTTGTTGCTTTTGATGCTTCGTATAGCTGCAGTTGATGCTGAATGCTGTTGTTTGTTTGTGGTGACTGTGGTGCAGCATTGCTAGGCCTGCTGGCACGGGGAGGACCAGAAGCGCGCGCGTGCTTCTTTTTGCTTGCAGAAACCTTGCTGAGGTTGCCTCCTGCTGCTTCTGGAGCTTCCGCTGCAGCAGCCACTGCTGCTCCACTTCCTGTGGGAAACGAAGATACGAAGCAGGCGATGTTGCTCTCGCCAGCTGTTTGCTGCATTCTACGCTCTAGCCGCAAAGCGCTGTCTCTTAGTGACTCCAACAGTACCATTAGCCGTCTTCTACACATCGCTGGTGCTGCTTGGGAAGCAGTGGTTGCAGCCAAGCAACACACACCCGAAGCTGCGGTATTTGCTGCAGCAGATACCGGGCCTGATGCACCACCCGAGACGCCGGCAGCACACAAAGAAACTCCGGCATCAGCAGCAGCAGCAGCCAAATGCTTACTCTTAGAACTCACCTGCGCATTCAAGGCTCTCGCTGCATTCATGCGACAACAGCCAGAAGCAGCAGCAGCAACATATGATGCGGATACTGTCCCCGACTTTGTGACATTGGTCATTGAGGCTTCTTTCATTGTGTGCTGCTGCCGCTGCAGCAGGAGCAACAGCAAGGAGGACACTCTGGAGAGTATGATAATGCGTGAGGAAGGATTGTCGGCGACACAACAGCGGCAGCATCACCAGCAGCAAGTCTGCTGCAGTTGCTTCTATAGGCGTTCTGTCGCGCCGGTTGCTGTTGCGCATGCTGGACTCGAAGCAGCCGCACTCGAGGCTTTATCTCTTTTGCCTCACATCCAGATCCATTGCAGGAACCAGCAGCACCAGGAGTTGGTGCTGCAATTAGCTCTAGCTGCTGTAACCATTCCCGCTGAAGCAGCTTCTCAGTTTCCCGCAGCTGCAGTGGCCTGCTGCATGAGCCCGTCCGCCATAGCGCCAGCAGCGGCTCTGCACGCTGCTCTTCTGGAGCAACTACAGCAACAGCAGCTCCTTGTGCACCAGCTACTCCTGCAGCAACAGCAGCAGGAGACGGCGGATCCAGCTCTTTTCGTAGGGTGCGGAACTGGAGTGGACAACATGAGGGGCCCCACCCTTTGGGAGGCTCAGTGGCGATGCGCTGCTGATGTGACTACGGCTGCTTTCAATGCCTTGCGGTTGCCAGCACTTGTGGCAGCAGCAGCCTCCGCACAAGCAGCACATGGCTCAGCAGAAACAGGATGGAGAGCAGACTATCCGCCGCACGTCCTCCGCGTCTTGCAGGGAGCGCTCCTGCTCCGCCGCCTCTTGCTGGGCTGCAGCTTGTGCTCGGCCGCAGCAGAAGCGGCACTGCAGAAAACTGCATGGACAGCCTGCTGCAGCTGGCGAAGGCAGCTGCCTTCAACTGCGTCCTCTGATGCCTCCGTGTCCCGTCTTACCCGCCGCAGCAGCAAAATCGGGGAAGGAAAAGCAGGAGCAGCTTGCGCTACTGCTGGAGTGCATAACAAACCTTCTGGAGGCCTCAAGGCTAGCAGGCCGCAGCAGCTGCTGCAGCGCCTCGGTTTTCTACGCCTGAAGAAGAAGAGCTTTTGCGCCGCTCGTGCAGCCTCCTTTGCTGAAGACGCGTGCTTTGCTGCTGAACATGGCCCCAGTGACTTTTCATCAGAAAGCATCGAAGGCAGTGCGCTGCAAATGAGCATTGTTGCGGCGGTGCTGTCAGGAGTCTTTCGAACACGCCCAGACTTGCTGTGCTCGCCTGCGGAGAAGCAGCAGCAGCAGCAGGTCTCGTCGTCAGTCGTTGACACTCTGTGGTGTTGCTGCGAGAAGGCCCTGGCCACTGCACCGCCACTTGAACGGCTTCTCTATGCGGATGTTGCAGGGGGCTTGTACAGTCTTTTGCGGATTGCGGATTCGCCGACACAGCAGCAGCCGCAGGACACAGCAGCAATACAAGGTATGCAAGGCATAAACAAGCATCTGGAGGCCTTCTTACAGATGCCTGTAGGAGCGCCATTGACGGGGAGGCAAGAAGCGCCGTTGCTGATGAGTCCAAGTCGGCTCTGCGGCGTATCCCTTCTTGCGGCTCGCCTGCTGCCTTTGCTTCAGCATTCTGATGTCTCAGCAACAGCAGCCGCTGATGGCAGCAGCAAGTGCTGTCTAGACCTCCTGAAACTAGCGCTGGTTGCCACTTCCTCAATTGAGGCAGCAGAAGAGGCTGCTGCTGCTGTTGATCCTGTGGCACCGGCTGCAACAAATCAGAATCCATTTGAAGCAAATGTGTCTTCCTCGTGCGCACTTCTGTGCGTTATTCGCTTCCTAGGGGTAGCGCTCCCAGCTGTTGCTTCAGATGCGGCTGCAGCAGCGTGCTTGACGACGGACCCAACGGCATCAGCAGCAGCATCAGCCGAATGTCAAGCTGACTCGACGTGCCCCCAGGGACAGCAGCGGCTGCAGCGGCAGCAACGAAGCGTATTGCAGCAGCAACTATTCAGGGCTCTGCACTTTGCGTTTCTTTTGCGTTCGTCTCAGTCTGACCTTTCTCGCGCTGCAGTGCTGGCTGCTGATGCGGCGAGGCATTTGCTGGAGTGTCTGCTTCAGCAAGCTACAACAGCAGCTGCGGCCGGACCTTTCGCGCTGCTGTCGGCCACTGAAGATTTTATAGCACATGCAGTAAGTGCGGTGCAGCAGCTAGACATCCAGGGAGGGGTGGGTTCACAGCGCGACATACGGGGCGCACGGTTTTTATAGAAGTGCAGGGCGGTTTAGGCTTCTGTGGATACTGCAGTTGATAGTGTCATATTTCGGGTTTATTAGGGCAACTGATGCTTTGATGTTGGGCTTAAAGAGTTGCTGCTTGTGACACTGCGGCTGAGCTCAGGCTAGGGAAGCCTCTTACCTCCTTTCGGTTTCATTTCAGTGTGCGGCTGACAGCAGCAACAGCAGCAGCAGCAGCGGGATCGTTCTGCAGCTCGTAGCTGCCACTCCTGCGCTGCGGTGCCTCACGGCGTTGATGTGCATTCAGTTCTCGGCCTCAGAGGCACGGAAGACAGCAATCGCAGCAGAAGGGGAGGGCAACTCTCTTGCTACTGCAGCGTTGTCGCTTCGCGCGCTGCTGCCTGTTGCAGTTGCTGCAACGGAGTTCGCAATTGCCTCGCCTTCGCCCGTTGTTCGGAGGGAGGCGGCGCGGAGTTTGCTGTCAATCTCGCGTCCACTGAAGGAGACGGCGTGGGGCCCCACAATCGCAGCAGCAGCCGCTGCCGCACCTCCAGCGGTAGCAGCAGCAGCTGCTGCGCCTGTAGCAGGAGACCCGCAACTGGCTCTCTTTTTGCTAGAGGCGCTCAACTCGGAATGCGATGCGCTGCAGAAGCAGTTGCTGCTGCAGGTGCTGCACCAGCAAGTCCGAATCTGGGGGCCGACGAATTTCACGCAGTGGGTATCGCTCCTTACGGCATTATGCTGCAGCTGCATTCCCGCTTCGTCTCCCTGTACACACCAACTCTCTACTTTGCGGCCCAGCAGCAGTTGCACCGGCAGGAAAAGCAGCTCTACCGCGGCTGGCTTGCTGCAACGAGCTCAGCAGCTGCTTCCGCAGACCCCCAAGATGCTGCTCTCTCCTCTTGCTGCTGCGCGCCCTCTCCCAGCCCTCACAGGCTTTGTTTGGAGACCCTTACCGGGTGTATCTGCACCTGGAGAAGCACAATGGCAAGATGAATGCTGTGACGATACGAGAAACAGCAGCAACCACAACGACTGCAACGGAGCGGAAGTTGAGCCGATTGTCTGTTTGGCAGCCGCAGAATGTCTTGAGTTGCTGCTGACCCTCCCGGAGCAGTACACGCAAAACAGTTGGAGTGGTCCTGTTGCTTATGGGTACCAGGCAAGGCACTCTGAAACTGAGGCAGCAGCACCAGCAGGACCACTTCTCATTGATCACCTTCCTTTGCTTGTCCAAGCTGCATGTGAGCTGCTGTGGCAGGGGATACGACGGCAGCAGCAACAACAGCAGCAACGCAGTGCACTGGCCAGCGACGGGGACATTTCATTAGCTCGGTGGGGCCTGCGGATTTTGCTGCTGCTGCTGCAGCGGCTGACTAGACCTTCTTCAGACTGCACAGGCACGCAGTTGCTGCTTCCAGTGCAACAACTGCAGCAGTATGAGGTCGCTGTTTCCTCTGCGATTTCCGCGCTGTTGCGTTGCTACGCAGCGTCTTCGGCTTCTGAGCGTCTTGAGGCGCCTGAAGCTATAGCCACTGTTGCAGCAGCAGTAGCAGAAGCATTTGCTGTAGCTGAAGGGGAGACGGCTTTAGCACAGCGCCGAGCTGCTTTGACGCGTCTCAGTGCAGCAGCAGCTGGAGGGAATGCGGCTTACGATGAGGAGAACCAGCAGCAGCAGCAGTCACAAAAGCCGCTGGAACAACAACAACTCTTGGCTATGGCGCTGGAGGTGATGGTAAGGTTCGCTGAGGCCGGCTGCTGCCTTAGCCCTTGGCGGCTGGTGGGGCAGCTGCTTCTGCCACTCGGAGACGTAGAGCAGGCAGCAGCTGCTTTGGTGGCAGCAGCGGCAGCAGCAACGCCAGCAGCGGATCCATCTGACTGGCTGTTGCGCCATCGTCTCCGCTTGGCTTGTCGGTTGATTGGCCATGTTGTAGCTGCTGCAGCGCCTAGTGCAGGTGCTGCCCCTTGTACTCGCACTGCTGCTGCAAATGTCTTTGAAGAACAGCACGAGCAGTGGGTTGCAGCAATCGAGCCCTGTGCCGTTCCTCTGGCACTGCATATCATGGCATCTCTAGTCAAGAGGCACCATCAGTCAGAACAGGAGGAACAGGAGCTACTTGAGGGGTTGGCGCTGCTGTCGCGGCCGCTTTCACCCGGACGCGGCGGGAGGTCAGCTGCTGCCGCTTCCGCGTTTGCTGCACTGACAGCAGCTTCGTGCACCGGCAATGCAGGAGGAACAGCAACTGCAGCAGAACCAGCAGCAGCATCAAGCTTGGGACTTGCCGAGGCATGCTGCACCGTTTTGAATGATCTGGCTGATGCTTTGCTTCGGCCCCTGGAGACAGTAGCAGCGGCACGTGAATCTTGTCCTGCTGCAACAGAGTGGTCTAAGGCGACCGCAGACGGGGTGTGCTGGAGGATAGAGTTGATTGGCAACCTGCTGCTGTGTTTTTGCTTCCCGCAGGGCCCTCTGCAGCAGCAACGGCAGCAGCTACCACAATGCCAGCAGCAGCAGGAGCAGCAACTTGAAGAAGATTGGGCGGAGGAGTGGCTGGGAGCAGACACCCCAACAGTCTCCTCTTGCATTCCAGTTCCCGGTACTGCCCCTGCAGACACCTCCACTTCTGGGGTTTCTGCTGAGGGTTCAGCGGCTGCCGTGTGTTTGTATCCCGATATGTTGCGCCGGGCATGTGAGGTTGCCGGGCGTCTAGCGGCACCATCAGCCAAGGGTGCTGCAGCAGCGGCGGGGCTGCAGGCGCAGGACCAAGGCGACGCTGGTGCGGAAGCTGCCGCTGCTTTTAGTCTGCCGCACGGGGACCATAACCTGTCAGAGGAGGCTAAAAAGGCAAAGGCTGCACAAGCCGTATCAGCATCAAAAGTTGAAGTGGCATGCGTACGGGCGGCTGGGTCCGCAACAGGAAGGATTCTCTATTGTTGCATTTACCTCCTGTGGAGCCTCTCTGCTGCGCTGCTGCACAACCCAGCAGTGCTAGCTGAAGAGCCTGCAGCCTTCGCCTTTTTCTCAGCAACGCGGAACGTCTCTGCAGCTGCTCTTTGGCTGTCTGTTGATGCAGCGCCGCCTCCACTAGCAGCAGCGGAAGAGGATAGACCTTCTGGCAGGCTGTGTGGGGCTGCTCTATCCCTGCTGCAGCGAGGTTTCTCCGTCGTGGCTGTGATGCCCTCAGCGCGTGCAGCATCTTCTGCGTTCTCTCTGCTGCTTTCCGCTTTGGACTGCCCTACATTTCCTTCGCGGCTTTGCAGTGGGGCATCAAACAGTGTCTCTCCAGTCGAGGCCATGGGCTTACTACGTAGGCTTTACGAGTCGGCATCCCGCGCTGCAGCAGCAGCAGCAGCAGCAGCAACGACCAAAGAAACAGCTGCAGCTGCACATGAGGCCAGCGCCAGTCTACTGGGGCACTGCGCGGGCCTCATTGAGTCAGCTGTTTCGAGTTTCACAGGGACAGGAGCTCTGGGAAACAAGCCGCCGACGGCAATTGCTGCTACTGCATCCGCTGTCGGTTCTTCTGCTCCAGGGAATACTGGAGGCGTACTGGCTCTTGCTGCAGCCCTTGTGGTTGTAGGCGCTCTTGCGCTGACGAATGGTCCCTGGAATAGCAGCGCCTTAAATGAACAGAAGCAGCAGCCACACAAGCCAGAGCCGGAATGGTGTGCACGCATAAGGACTGCTTTGCAGCGATTGAGTGAATTTGCGTATGTAGTTGACGCATGCGGGGGTCGTGGGGCGCTTGCAGCTGCTGCAGCACGGGAAAATGATTCGGAGGAAGAAAGTGGGACTCCTGGCAGCGCAGCGACGGCAAAACCGTTCCTCCTAAGAGCAGATGGTCGAGGACCCGGCGAAGCAGACGCTGCACTGGTCCTCGAAAAGGCAGCAGCTACAACAGTTACATCAGCTACTACAGAACAAGGTGGTAAAGGCACAGCAGCAGGCTCTGTGCTCCCCTGGGCAGCTCCTTGTCAGCATGCTGCAGCGCAGCTGCGGGGATTTTTGCTGCGCATTGCCAATGTCTGCAATCAGTGTGCGACCGCTTCACCTGATTCTTTCCCGTCTCTTCTCGCAGCAGCAGCAGTATCCTGTCTCATTCCTGTGCTGTCCCCATACCCCTCCGGGGTCCTCAACGGTGGCGCCAGCAGCACCTGCGTTGAGCACGGCAAAAGCAGCCACGATAGCTGGAGCCAACTATCCACGATAAAGACACAGCAGACCCACCCTCTGAAGACCTTAGAGGCCTTCTTGGTGGAGCTGTCCCCGCAAAATAAAAACGCCCCCAACGGCAGTGGCGTGTCTCCTCTCTGTGAGGCGTTGGTAGATGCACTGCGCTCTGTCATTGCTGGGGTTCTTAAAGTTCAAGCTGAGGCAGAGGCACCAGCCGTAGAGGGAGCACCAGTGCCGAGAGCAGCATCAGCAGCTTCAGCCGTGGCAGCAGCAGTCACAGGAACAGCAACAACACACTCATCGACAACGCCATCAAAATCAGCACTTGTTGCACCAGACTCTGTTGCAACAGCGGTAGCAGTGGCAGCAGCGCCAGAAGGAGCAGCAACAGGAGCAGCGGCAACGGATTCAGCAGCCCCAGAGTCAGCAGCACTAGCAGCAGCTTCAGACTGTGTAGCAACAGATGCAATAGAAATAGGTACAGTATCAGATTCAGCAGTACCAGATTCAGCAGCGGCTACACCAGCAGAAGCTGCAGCACCACCAGAGTCACCAGGCGATTCGCAGACCGTCGCAGCGGCAGTGGAGGCACCCGGATTAACACCAACAGGGACAGTGGGATACCCAGAGGCATGTGAAGCAAGGAGAGCCGCCTACCTTGCTGCTGCCGCGAGCCTGCTGTATCTTGCAGTGTATAGGCACCCCTCTATATCAGCAAGAGCGATCGAAGCGGCAGCAGCTACTGCACGCGCTGAAGCGGCGACTGATGTAACGGCGGCGTCTGCACCCGCAAGCCGCACACAAGAGGTAAAGGCAGCGGTGGCACGTCTGCTGCAGGAAGAGTTAGCACGAAAGCAGCGCGGGGAAACCTGAACGTCCCTATTCTATCACGGAAGACAGGTTGTTCTGGGCGTTGCAGAAACTGCAGCAACGGCAGCACTTGCAGTAACAACTGGTTGGCCCGGTCCAACCAGACAAAGAAGCCATATAGTAGGGCGGGACGGGTCCGGCGGGGGTGAATAGCATTTTGATAGTGCCGCGACCCTCCCGCTGTGTAAAAAGTGGGCGTTCAGCACGAAAGTATTGGCAGCTGCAGCCTCAACGGAAGCAACAACAGCACATACGCCTGTTGTTTTATGTTTTATCGTGGCAGCAAGAGGGCATTTGCGCTGGTCGTTTGAGGACTTCAGCTGCAGGGCTAGGGAAAGGCTTTGGGGGTGAGGTGGAAACTGCGGAGCCTCTAATCACCAGCTCATCAGTTGTACCTACCTGTTTGCGCATGCATGTGCATGGGCTCGTTCGTAAATGCGTTTTTCTGGTGCATTTCTGTAAGCCAAAGCGCTTTTGACTTACCAAGTTATGGGTCATCAACCTCTGCACACCTGTGTATTCACCTCCCTGCATGCGCATATGTCCAGAAGCGAAGATGCTAGAGCCCATACCTACAGGTGTAAATGCGTCTATGTGTGCCCTGTATGCATGCCTGTCGATATATATGCGCTGCCGTGGCGCGTGGGAGTGGAACCGTTTTCGTGGTTTAGCTCCAGCGGCGTGTAGCGCGCTGCAGTCATACCGACAATTTACATAGCGACAGAGCGCTTATCTGTGAGCATACGGGGGCATCTAGCGTGGCTGAAAAACTGCCACCCCATCATACTGCCGCTGCAACAGTGCGGCTTTTTATCTGCAGGGGATTAGTTCTGCTTAAGTGTCGTGAGCCGCTGCACCTGTACGCAAGCGTGATCGCTTGTTTGGTAGAGATGAGCGGAGCTGCTGTAAGGCCGAGGCAAGTCTACGTAGTTTGTGGCCTGCTGCAGCGATGTCATACTCTGGCTCAGAAGCGCCCGTGCACAAAGCAGATGTTAACTATTGGCTTGAATGCCAGAGAACCTCGGAACTGCTACTTGCTCGTACTATCGTCTTTGCTGGCCCACATCTGGCTGGGCTGTCAAAGACGCGAAAGCATGCATACACTTCACACAGACACCATTATGCAAGTTGAAGGTAAAGCCAGCGTGAACGGCACCTGAGGGATGTATGTGTGGACCCATTAAGCATCTCTGTTGTATTGCCAAAGGGATGGATTTGTGACAGGCCAGCGGTAACATCCTGATTGAAGGCTCTGCAGAACTAATATCACGGTGCAAATGGGTTCTTAAACGAGGCCATGCTTGCTTGGTCTTTAACGAGTTGAAGTACTGCAACGGGTTCTTCTTGGAACACAAACGTTGCGTTTTATGGGATGCTTTAGGGTTTAATTGCCGCCTTTTGCTCCCCGTGCGTTGCTCTCACCTATCACTGGCAATATCTAATTCCCGCATGAGCGTTGCCTACTGCAACGGTTCGTAGATGCCGAGGTGAAGAAATATAAAGGCCGGAAAAACGAGGTTCCTGCTTGCCTGTATGCATCACATCTCGTCTAACTCGAGATCAAACCGACTCCGTTTTACCGGTAGAGTTGTTGCACCTCCTCATTCGTCGCCAAAAGGCTGCCTGAGGGGCCCATTCAAACATTAATTTTGGCAACTTCCATAGCGGGAATGCGCACGGCGTGGTTCACTAGATGCCAGGTGAGCCTATTTTTCATGGAATCCAAGCTTTCGTTGCATTGCTCAGCTTGCATGCTTGGCCAACAGCCCTTTATGAAGGTGAAATTCACAACATGATGCATAGTTTCTCAGTTAACGGTTATGCGAACTGCGAGCCACGGACACAGCAGGACAGCCACCTGGCAGCACTATGCTTGAAATGGATTTCGCTTTCCCTTGAGTAGCACTGCATATGAAGGTGCCAGGACCATACAAAGACTGGAGGGAGCTAAGTGGCTCGGTCAAGGGGGGGCCAGGCGCCAGTTGAGAAAGAATTTCTGACAACCACAACCAGGCGGGATTGAAGTAGAGAACGCAAGAAGAAAATAGCAAACAAGGTCTGCAAAAAGTTGTAGGATGATCTGTCCAAGGTTAGTTCATGCATTCCTCCTTGCGCTCAGGTTGTCATTAGAGGACAAAGAATGAAGTGTTGAACAGTTATCTACGTTGTTAGTCCATGCATAGGCAATGATGGGTTACCTTGCCGCAGGGGTTGCAGCATGGAAAGCTGCAACTCATTAGAAGCCCCCTCGTCTACTCACCTTCATTCCCAGGCCCTTGCGCCTCCGTGCGCAGGCCGCCTGTACAGCCAGAGGGCAGCTCAGGTGCAGTTTGGGAACACTACACAGAAGGGATTTTTGACTCTATTGTGAGAGGGCAGCTCAGCTGCTGTATGGGAAACCTTATTGGCTTTTAGCCTCTACTGCAGCTCACGTTTGTTCTCAGAAAATTTACTGACCCCTCGTTGCGATAGGTGGTTGAGGCGCTAGGAGGGCATGGCTCGTTGCTGTAGGAGCCGTTATTGGGCGTTGGGGATATGCGTTTTGAGTTTGCGTCGTCAAAGGCTGAAACCAATGAGGAGCTTATGAGGTCGCATGGACAAACTGTAATGTAGCTTTGTGGCGGTGAAAGTGCTGTGAGACTTGTTGGAGAGGATTTATCTTGCTGCGCCCCCTTGGTGATTTCTGTTGCTGCAAAGCAAAAGAGCGCAGCCAAGCAAACGCCAATAGAGGACTTGCACGAATGCTGCAGAAACATTCGGGTCCAGCTGCATATTAGAAAGACATGAACAGCCAGAACGACATTGAAGACGGTGTTCCCAGGAGACAATATGCTATGACGCAGCCTACAAATGCAGGGCGGAAAGACCCGCATCGGCACGAGAGTCAAACGTGGACGCCCAGAAAACCAATTATACATCTTCCTTACACTATTCCATATTCGTCTGAACTAATATCGTCTAATTTGCGATGGTGCTGCCGACTGCAGGGGAGCCGACTGCAGGGGAGCCTGCGTGGCTGTGGGGCCCACGAGGGGCCCTTGAGGCCCTTTGAGTCGTTGCTATTCAGGCATACTGCCTTCTATGGAGGAACTCCCTTTTACGGTTTCGTGAAGGGTTTTTGTATTTCATTTTAAGGGTTTCAGGGTTTTCGTGGCGAAGGCCGGAGCCCACGTACAGGTCTGTGCCGGGGCAGAGGTTCTTCGGCGCGAGGACCCCTCAGATGTGCTTCTCTTCTTCGGCTGCGTCATACTTTGCCGCTTGTCTCCTGCTGGTTTCTTTGTTCTTTCCGGGCTGTTCTATTATCCGCATCACCGGTAGAAGCAAAAGCGGGAGCAGGATTAACAGCGTCACCAGTAGAAGGCAGATGGAATCCACGCGCCTTTCTCAGGGTTTGTTGCAGCCAGTGGCATCCCGGGTGCTGCCGCGTCTGTGGCAGCAGCACCGGCAGCCAATGCAACGGACATTCAAGAATCAGATGCCTCAGATGCTGCTGAGACAGCACGCGGCGCAACAGTATCAGAAGATTCTGCGGTATAAGGGCAGCAGTTCCTGTTGCTGGATGTTTTCGGGCACACCGCGGCTTTTGACAGGGCGGAACGCTGAGGTGTGTGATTGCTGCTGGTGCTGGTTCTGCTGCTACACTTACTTGCGTTTGCAGCACTCTTCGCTGCTGCCTCTGCATTCCTTGTTGTTTCCTGCGCGACGACGCCAGTAAAATAATTGAGACGGCGTGTATTGTGGTACTGCTTGCTGCAGCAGGGTGCTCAGCTCTCTGCAGCTGTTGCGCCGGGCCCCCGATTTGCTGTTGCAGCTGCTGCTGCAGCTTGCGGAGGTTCGCGTGGGTTGAGCTCCTTCTGCCGCCATCCATTTTCCCCAGAAGGCCTGCGCATAAGCAACAGCGGGTGCAGGAGTGGTAGCAGCAGAAGCAGCAGCAGCAGCTTGAGAGAAGCTCGTTCCGGGCTCTGCTCCCCTTCGCATGCGGTGGAGCCCGTCGGTGGGGCTCCAGAGGACTTGGCCAGCGAGGCTGTGGATTTGAATTCATTGTGCAGTTCAGTGGTGAAGGTGTACAGTGACTTTACGGACCCCAACTACGCTCTGCCGTGGCAGATGCAGAGGCAAGGCAGCAGCACGGGAAGCGGCTTCATCGTCCATCCTTCAGCGGGGGGGGGCGAACGCATCATCCTCACCAATGCCCACTGTGTGGCCTGGAACAACCGACTGCACATTAGAAAACATGGGTTAGATTGCTTGGAAAGCTGTTACTGCTGTCCCTGGCATTATGCCTCCTGCTGGTGCTGCACGCGCTGCTGCAGCTCCTGCGGCGCTTAGTGTTGCTGTTGCTGCCGCACTGCGTGCTGCTGCTGTTGCAGCTCTCTCACATGGCCAGTGATGCACTCTCATGTTACTTACCCCGCCGTTCTGTGGCGTTTCTGAAGAGCAGGAACCCTGTGTTGTGTATGCCGGACTGACGCGTTGGGGCGTTTCACCTCTGTATCCGTTTTTCTGGTCCTCCTTGCTCCATTTATCGAAGCCCTTTGTAGCAACAGCATCTGCAGCAACTGTGCCACAGCAGGCGCAGCAACAGCGGCAAGTGCGGCAGCAGCAGCCGCAACATCTACACCTTGTAAGGAGTGTATGCTTGCTTGCGTTCTCCTCAGCTCGCCGATCAAGTTTCCCGCCAGAGTGCTAGCTGTTGCTCACGAGTGCGACTTGGCAGTCCTTACTGTAGACAACGACGATTTCTGGGCAGACACGCAAGGCCTTCTCTTTGGAGAGGTCAGCTGCTCCTGCCCCATTTATTTGGCTTCTGCTGATGCCCTTCTGATGTTGCTGCTTGCCTTTACCGGTGGCACTTGTGCTATTTCTTCTACTGCTGCTGCCCCCCACTGACGCTGTCGGTGTGTTGTCTGTTGTTCGTGAGTCTTCTGGGATGCTGATGTTCGGCATTTTCGAACGAATAAAAGGTGCTACTTGCATCGGGCACAGCTGTGTGCATTGTTGTTGATGCTGCTGCAGATACCAGCCTTGCAGGATGGGGTGATCGTGTTGGGTTATCCGCGCGGAGGAGATAATCTTTGCATAACTTCAGGGGTCGTCAGCAGAGTGGACGTTAACACCTATGCCCACTCCAATACAGCGTAATTATCTAATTTCTAGAGCCCCTATACATGGAATTAACCCCGTCTCTGTCTTCCACCTTGAAAACTTAACGTGCAAAGTGATAGGGTGCTTTCCAGAGCCGTTATTGGGGGCGTCTGGCCAGCGCTGCTGCTACACTAGCAGCCCTCACATGCTGATGAGGATGTCTTTGGTGTTAGGGGTGCGTTGAGTTGCCGGCGCACCGGTTGGGGCTGTACTGGGGACAGCAGCAGCAGCAGGAGCAACGGGCGCAGCTGCTGGCTGCAGCGGCGTGTTTGTTTTCAGGCTGCTTTGCGTGCAAATTGACGCGGCAATTAACCCCGGCAACAGCGGCGGACCCGCTCTGAAAGGCGGCCGCGTGGTGGGCGTTGCGTTTCAAGGCTGCGAGGCCTCGGCGGCGCAAAACGTAGGTTATATTGTGCCCTGGAACGTCGTGCGTCATTTGTTCATAGACCTCAGCAGACACCGCAGATACACGGGCTTCCCAGCCGCTGGGGTCCTTTTTCAGCAGCTGGAAAACGAGTGCATGCAACAGAAGCTCGGCGTCTCGAAGCTCAAGACAGAGGACCTCCCGCAAGGTGGGCAGTGCACTCAGTGCTTCAGCGCCTCTTACTACTGCTGCTGCTACTGGTGTTTTTTCTGCTGCTGCTGGGTCATGCAGCACGCCCCAGCCTTGAGGTGCAAGCGAGGCGCAATGCGCCTCGCTTAAGTGCACCATGCCGTTGCTGGCTGTTGCTGCTGCTGGTATTCCAGGTGTCACTGCCAGTGGGATCCTTGTCACGGCAACTGACTCGGTTCGGTCTCGCAACTTCCTTGAAAGGGCAAAGATCGCTGCAGAGAAGCTCGAAAACACAGGAGCACTAGCAGAATTGGTTGCAAAAGAGGCAACCGCAGCACTGCAAGGAGCTGCCGCACCTGCTGGTTCCCCACCAGGGGCATCAGCAACAGTGGAATCCGAAGAGGTTTCTAGAGGGTCACCAGAGGAGACGTCGTGGGGGGAAAGTGGCCCTTGCGAAGATGGCCCTTTGGCCGACCCGTCGGTTGTTGTGCGCGAGGCTATAGCGGCAGTGGACGCAGAAGCAGCAGCAGCTGCTGCTGCTGGCAAACCTTTGCCCTCACCAGCAGAACGGAAGGGTTTGCTGCACGGGATACTCGAGCAGAAGATCGGCCTGCGACCGGAGGACGTGGTGATGGCCGTTGACGGTGCTGATGTGGCTGGAGATGGTACGGTGCATTTCAGGTATGGCTGCGCCCCTATTGCCAACATACTGTTGGATATCGAGCTCAGCAGATGCATTTCACTTTCCTGCTTCTCTGTTAGAAGGCCCGTGGCACTCCTGACGCAGCCGCTGGTGCGGAAGCAAATCGCTGCCTCGCCTGCTGCTGCTAATGCGTGGTGCTGGCGATTTGTGTATAGAGCAGCAGCTCGTTCACTTCGCTTTTTTTGGGAGAATTGGGATGATCCTCCACCCTCTGTATTTCTCTTGATGGTTAAGGGCTTGGTTTAGTTTAGGATGCAGGGACTGCCTTTTTGGGTTTAACGTCTGCGTGCAGAGGCATGGAGCGCGTTAGCGTCTCCCACGTTATTTCGGAGAAGTTCATGGGCGAGACGCTTTCCGTAACCGTCCTTAGGAACGAGAAAGTGCAGAATGTCTTGGTAACTTTTCTTCAAGCCGAGACTGCATTTATGCTGAATCCCCAGTTTTTCGCAGGCACTCGCCGAACCAATTACTGTGCTGACGCCATAGGCTGCAAACACACTTTACAAGCGGAAGTCCCGCATATGCTCTTTCCACTGACCTATGTTCTAACCGAGTACTGGACGGGCTCTGTTGCGCTGCCTGCGCATCTTCGTGGGGGCTAATATATATTTTACAATATATATAATAGATTATACATATGTATATATTACATTTATATGTGTAATATATATATGTATGTATATGTAGTTTTAGCCCTTAGCGCTGCTGTGCGGCATCGGAGCAACAGCTTCATCCTTGTAAGGTCTATACCTTTGAGGTGTATGCGTGTATGAGGGGCGTGCCCACGATGCATCTGCCTTAGCGGTGCATATGTTTAAGGGGCATTGGCGATGCTTGAGTTCTGCTGCAGGTACCGCTCGAGACAGAGCGTTGCCTAATCCCCAAACATCAATGGGGGCGCGCCGCCCGATACATCGTCTACGGCGGTTTGGTGTTTTGCCCACTTACACTAGAGTATTTAAAGGCAAGAATATACGTGACGCTGCTGGACGCTGCTTTGCGATCTGCAACGTAGAGGAGGGTGGTCCCCTGTGCAGCACCTCCCTTGGATGCACATAGGGTTTAGATGGTTATGTACTTTTTTTCGCCAACTTTTCCTTTGTTTGCTCTTCTGCTTGTACATTTTGCTCCCGCAAGTCTGCCGCTTGTGCGACGGCGTGGCTATTACTTTGCTTCGTCATTGGACTGTTCAGTGGTAGCCAGCTCATTTGCGTTCTCCCTTGCTTGTCTTTTGTCGTTCTTTAGGATGAATTTGGGCCTAAGTTTCATGAACGAGCCCCAAGCTCGCTCTTGCGGCCTCTATCGGATGTGTTCGCCACGGTGGAAGGAGAGGAGCCCATAGTGCTGGCGCAGGTAAGGTGTTCCGCGCACGGACCTCAGCCAGTTCACCTGCATTTTCAAGGCCTGATGAGATAGGGGCACGAACCGCGTCTATGCGCTCCTGCTGCTTCGCTGCAGATCTTGGCATCCGACCTGACCAGCGGCTACAGCCTGCGTAACTGCCTCCTCTCCACCGTAGACGGAGTGAAGGTGACGAACCTTCGCCACTTGGCACAGCTCTTGGGGATCACACCACGAGATCAGCAGGACCGGGGTCAGCAAGAGCGGAATCAGCAGCAACGGCATCCAAACGAGTTCGTTACGTTTGTCCTGGAAGAGAAACTGCAGGTGGTGCTGCACAGAGGCAAGGCCGAAGCCATGCTCCCTGAAATTTTAAAGCAGCACGCTATTCATCGGCAGACAAGCGACAACTTGTGAAATTGCTCAACGGCCGCAGCAGCCACGCGTGAACCATCAGGCGCACCTGCTATATACTACAAATACCCCTTCTCCTGGGGCTTTTGCTGCTATATTGTTGGTGGCCGGAGTTGGCGAACTGCGGTTTGTGCCGCATTTGACAGCAGCAGCACCATGTTGGATTGCACGTGCCTTCGCAGTTTTCTAGAACACCACTCTGCCTACGACATCTTGGCAGAAACGGAATCTTGGAAGCACACAGTACCCAGGCACAAAGCCATAGAAAAGTGGAGCCAGGCCGCGACACACAGGAGGTAGCGGTGGGAGGGTCGCAAACAGGAGGTGAAGAAATGGATAGACACGGATGCAACAGAAAAGGAAATCTTATGTGAGGCGGGGAAGTAGAGAAAAGCAGGTGTAGGTAGACAGAAAACTCCACAACAGACGCGAGCATCCTATCGGCAGGGCTCAAGAGACGACCACCCACTCACCGGTTTTGGGGGGCCCATACCGCCGCCACCCACTCTGTACGTAGTTGTGATGGTCCTTGTTTCCTAAAGTCGAATGTGTCACTTTCTCTCCCCTTCCCTTTAACTTCAGCTTCTTCTAGCTCTGCCGCCTTAAATCACAACGACGCCGAACACCATGGCGCCAATTCAACCCTTCCTGTACGGGAACCTGTCTTGCATAACGGGCTCAACCAGCTCCCAGACTTTAATACCGCTGCTTAGTGGATTCGGTGTATTAACTAAAAAGGGATGCTGCTTCTTCTATTCGGCACTCGCCCAGAACTGGTGATGCCCGGTAGTGAGCGGCCTTCGAGTAAGAGCACCGGAGGTAACCTGCCCTATAGTTAATTGTGCATTATTAGTATTAGTGGCTCATCTTCCTCATTTCATCAATTGCTTTGTTAGCCAGATCAATTGTAAATAATAGCTTTTCGCTGGCAGACTCAGACTGTTGATGCGGGCTTCTGGGGCCCCCGAGTCACTGCCAGCAGGCCATTGTGGGGCGGCAGGGCCCTGGGGCACGTGCCTTCTAAGCAAAGGAATAGTTTCAAAGGCTCTATTTTATTGCATTGTTGAGGGTTTGGAGGGGGTATTGAAGTCAGCTGCATCTACAGGGTCTCCCCTCAGATTTGGGGTTTTTGCCTGAAACATGGCAAAGGTCAAGAGTGAGGCAGGCGTTGAACTCTGAAGCAGGAGCCCAAACAACTAAAACCTAGTTCCGAATATAAGTATATACGCCTATATTCAATTGCACCAAGGCGGGAGACGATGAGGCGCTCAAACCTTAGACCATGCGCCTCCGGCTGGCAGCCTCCTGTTCTCAAGTTCATATATTTGCTGTAGTGCCTGTATAGTTGTTCAATCATCATTATTCTCAAGCTTTGTGGTTTCTGGTTTAGCGTGGATTGCTCAAGGTCTGTGGCTTACTTGTGGCTGCTGCGGGCTGCTTTAGAACAATCCAAGAGGCAGAAGCTCTCGAAGAAGTACAACGTAAGCGCTAGGGAATCAGCCCAAATACTGCACTAAAATTAACAGTTTGAACCCGTTCAAAGGCTTATCCCCGCCTTGCTGCAAAAAAAGGGAAGCACTGAAAGATGTTGCTCTTCTGCAGATACAAAAGAAAGTTCGGGAGCATAGGAGGAAAATGCGGAAGGAGGCGAAGTCAAAGGGAGGCCCTGTTAGAAGAAGTAAACTGCTGCTGTTTCGTGTGTATGCGCTTATGCGCGTGCAGCTGATGTTACTGCACATCCACGCTGATTCCCACCTTCCCGTTCCTTCCCGTTTACTGGTGCCCCTTGGTCCGCTTCGTGCCGGGGCAAATGTCTGCTGCTCCCGCTGCTGTTCCTCCTCTCTGCTGTGTTTTGAGTTGTACAGAGATGCGGAGAGATCCTGGGATCCCAAATTCTTGTCCATTTAAGGCAGACATCATCGCCAACCTAATGCGGCGCAAGCAAGAGAGAGAAGAGCAGTCGAGGCGCGAACGAGAGGAAAAGCTCCGGCAGCAGCAGCAGCAGCAGCA